CCCTGGCTTGTTTATCTTTACAGCACCCGGGGGGTCATGCACCTAGTAGTTGCCCACTAAGTGTGGTGTGACTTGAGTCACTCTTTAAAAGAGCTCTTCCCAGTGAAGCTTTTTATTGCAGTCTCTGAGAAATTAGCACTTTCTAACCTTGTCTCTTTAAGATTTTTAAAAATCCATTGAGCAATGCTATATCATGTTTTCTGGAATCAAGAAAATCTTGATCTTATCTCCTTATGTGGTAGAGGGGTGCAGGGCAAGTTTTTCTACATTTCTTAAGACCTATCCTAGGGCAATATAAGAAATGTCCGTAGTGATTGCTGTAGCTTGTTGACTGGGAACAACAAACGGCAACTCATGACTCATAGGAATGTTCCCTTTCTTGTGGACCCCAGTGTTTCCTCACAGGCATGTTAGGGCACTTCTGGACCTCTGGCATGCCCACACTCAGGGCTTTCCAGAATGCACAGTGGGCACACGTTATCTTTCTCATTATGGCGTTTGACGTGCTTATCAGTCATCCTCCCAAGTGTTTGGATGGTTCATCTGGAATGCAAGTTGTAGGACTCCTTTATTATTATAAACTACTGTTATTTGCCATCAATCACAATTTACCTTTGCACAATGCTTTATAGATTACAATAAATATTCACATCTGGTATGGTATTATCCTTAGGTGAGGCCCTTGAGAAAGGTTGTAGAGGAACTGTTAATCCCCATTTCTAGATGGGAGTACTGAGACTCCGGGAGCTGATGTGACTGAGTTCGAGGTCACAGAATCAGTTGTAGATCAAGACTCCAACCAGCCGCAGTGTCTTCTGCCGCAGTCAGTATATCACCTGGAAAGAGCTTGTAGACTTTTCTACCCTTCGCCATCTTTCTTGGGTTGCGGGGGTTGATTCCATAGTTGCAGACAAGGGAAGGATAATAGGTTTCATTCCCCTTTGGACCTCTCCGCTCTCCACCTGAGTCAAGGTTATATAGGGGGTCAGTCTAACTGAGACTGGAATGAGTAGATACAAGCCCTATAGACATATTCATTCCCCAGGTCTGATTTTCAGGCCTTGCCCAACTCGTCCTTAGGGCTTGTGACAGTGTTTACAATAGACCTGAGTAAGTACTTGCCCGCTGAGTAATCTCTTTTAAGAACTGTTCATAATTATGCCCTTCTATGAGGCCCTGTTTCCAGGAAACAGCTATCTGTTTTTCATCCACTTAAGTGCCTTTTCATGAATTCACTCTACACAAGATAAAGAGATAACTAGGGACAGTGCTGCTATGAATAAAGCTGGCATGGGAACTGTTCAATTTGTTTATATTTTATATTTTTTCCTTAACGCAAGAAGACTTGTGAGTTAAGTCAGTAGTGGGAGTTGGTATAAGTCTTGTTTAGACTTTTGTCTCTTCCAACTACTATTTGAATATCTACAATGTGTGTAGAATAGTGTTAAGCATTCATTCATTCATAAATTCATTCAACATATGCTGGCATGCCTGCCACGTGCTAGTGTAATTATTGGTGCAATTACTGTGTAAGTACACAGAGTAATGAATGAGAACCAAGACCACTACCTCCATAGATTCTCTTTTCTCTGGAGGATTTAACAAAATGAAGCATGCAAGTAAACAGGGGTGTGTGCTGTAAAAAAACAAGAAGCAAAGAATATGATGATGGTGGGCAATTGGGTAGGATAGAGTGAAGAATAGTTGAGAAGCCTTCCCTGAAGCAGAGACGTTTGAAATGGAAGCAGCAGCAGCAGCAGCCATCTGAAGACTGGCTGGAAGTGTATTCCAGGTAGACAGACAGCAGGTGTAAAGGCCCTGAGGTGAGGGGTAAACTTGAAAGGAGCTTTCAAGATGGCTTACATTTTAGCAAGTTTAATTTGGTCTCCATAAGGAGGAATGGTCTATGTTCAGATAAGTCCTCTGATGGGGTGGGACTGCCTGCCTTGGCATGTAGTGAGCTTCCTGTGGGTAAGGTTTTCCAGGTGGGACCACACTTTTGCTGGACTCCTGTTAATAGCATTCAGGGATGGCGGGGGTGGATAGGACGAATGTAGAAAAGTTGGATTACAAGTCCTCAGAAGGCCCTCTGTAGCCTTGTGATTCTCAGATTTTACCTTTGATAGTCCTAGGCCAGAAACAGTGACTTCTACATTTGATGATTTATGGTTCAAACTGCAGTTTTCATGGGATGATGCTGATAGGCCTCTATTTTTATCTAGTCCTCCCCAATTTACAAAATACTTTCATATGTATAATCTGATTTGATTTATTTCTCACAGCAACCCTAGGAGGTATTATTATTGTATCTATTTTAACACAGGAAGAAATGATAAGCAAGAGAACTTAAGTAACTCATTCAAGGTCACTAAATGGTGGAGGTGGGATCAAACTCAAATCCTTTGAAACTCACCTCATTCTTCATATTACAATAATTTTTCTTTTCTTTTCGTTTCCTTTTCTTTCCTTTTTCTTCTTTTTGAGACAGGGCTTGCCCTGTCACCCAGGCTGGAGTGCAGTGGCGCGATCTCAGCTCACTGCAGCCTCAACCTCCTGGGCGAAAGCAATTTTCCCACCTCAGTCTCCTGAGTGGCCGGCACTGGAGGCACACACCTCCACGCCTGGCTAATCTTTTCTTTTCTTTTCCCTTTTCTTTTCTCCTTTTCTTTTCTTTTCTTTCTTTTTTTGAGACAGGGCTTGTTCTGTCACCCAGGCTGAAGTGCAATGTCATGATCTCAGCTCACTGTAACCTCCACCTCCCAGGTTCAAGCAATTCTCCTGCCTCCGCCTCCCGAGTAACTGTCATTACAGGCGCCCGCCACCACCCCTGGCTAATTATTGTATTTTTAGTATAGACGGGGTTTCACCATGTTGGTCAGGCTGGTCTTGAACTCCTGGCCTCGTGATCCACCCACCTCGGCCTCCCAAAGTGCTGGGATTACAGGCGTGAGCCACCGCGCCCGGTCACGCCTGACTAATTTTTAAATATTTTGCAGAGACAGGGTCTCGCCACGTTGCCCAAGCTGGCAATAATTTAAACACAAAACAAAACCTTTTCTACCCCATCCCACCCTGTCACAAGGAATGGAAAGGGGATGATTTCTGGTCTGGAGAAAGGCACTGAGTAAGGCTCAGGAGGAAGAACTAAGCCAGCAGACTGCAAGTCTGCCTGTGCCTGATGGGCATTCAACCGTAAGCACTGTTTCAGGCTGCTTCAGGATCACCCTTTCAGCAGCCGCAGCTGTTCTTAATAGCAGCTGCTTGCGCGGATTGTGTTGTGATTAATAAAGGCAACTCAACAGTTTGTTCTTTCAACTGTGCCCTTGGTGTGCACAGCCTGCATTTCATACACTTTTGATTTGGAACAACTCAATCCTACGGGCATATGGTGCCTGCGGGCTCATTACCCTGTTGTGAGAAGAGATGGTCCACCTAGGTCAGAGCTGCTGAGCCCAAGACCGCCCAGGGACTGGATGGTAAGGAAGATGAGTGGTGGGTGGCTCAGTAAATGCCGACTCCTCGGTAAGAGTCGGGGATGCCATGGAGGCAGGGGAGGTTGGTAAATGGAGATCACCTCTTGTCCCTGTTGTGTGATGGGGCCACTGCCCTTCAACACGTGCCCGTTGTTCCTCCACTGCAGTGGTTCTGGAACGTCAGTGTGTATCAGTGTCCTGCTTGTTGAAACACAGATGGCCAGGCCCCACTTCCACAGTTTCTGGTTCTGTAACAGAGCCTGAGAATTTGCATTTCTGATGAGTTTCCAGGTGATGCAGCCGCTGCTGGTTGAGGGACCACACTTTAAGAACCGCAGCCAGGGGCCCAGGGCTGAGGGTCTGGGCTGATAGAACTTTGGCTGTTTTGGATTTTTATGAAAAATCTCCAGGTTTTAAGTATTGAGAGTAAATCGAATTGTAAAGAAACACCGTGGGGTTTAGAACGGTAAGTGAAACAGAATGCTGCCTGTCAGCTGATGGCCTCTGATCAGAATACTTTCAGGAAAGAGCCTTTGCAGCCTGCTCTGAAAACTGAGGCCCAGAGAAGGGTGGGAGTTCATCCACAGCATACAGCTAGTTTGGGGCAGAACCATGACTAGAAGCCAGTTTTCCTGCTGCGTGTGTGTGTGTCCTTGCATACTGTCTTCTGAGTACATTTTCTCTTTGAATGGGAAAACGTTTGAAAATAATAATAACCACACTAAAATATTGCTAACTATGTTCCAGGTGTGGTTCTAAGTACTTTATGTGTATTAGCTAAATCTGTCCTAACACCAGCACTGTGAGGAAGGTACTTGTGTTAGGCTGTTCTTGCATTGCCATGAAGAAATACCCAACCCTGGTAATTTAAAACGAGGTTTAATTGGCTCACAGTTCTGCAGGTGGCACAGGAAGCATGGTGCTGGCATCTGCTCAGCTTCTGGCAAAGGCTCAGAGAGTTCCCAATCATGGTGGAAGGAAAGTGGCAGCAGGCACTTCACATGGCGAATGCAGGAGCAAGCAAAAGTGGGGGGAAAGGTGCCCCCATACTTATAAATGACCAGATCTCTGAACAGCTCAGAGTGAGAGCTCGCTTATCACCAAGGGTGTGGCCCAAGCCATTCATTGGAGATCTGCCCCATGATCCCAACACCTCCCACCAGGCCCCGCCTCTGATGCTGAGGATTACGTTTCAACAGGAGATACCAGTTGTTAGGAGAGCAAATATCCAAACTCTATCAGTACTATTATCCTTATTTTACTGATGGGAAATCTGAAACACAGAGAGGTTAAGTAATTTGCCCAAAGTCACAGAGCTACTAGTAGAGTGAGGATTTAACCCAACAAGTCTAGCTTCAGGCAGAAATTGACAAATAACTAAAGTTTTTTTTCAAAACTTCATTTGAAAAAGCAGAACAAAACCTCTTACCATGCAAAGTACAAATCATGGACAGATTCTTATAATTTTAATGCTGCCCGGAAACTTGAAAATTAGGTGGCTTGACTTCCTCCCTCCTCCTTTTATAGACATGGAAACTGAGGGCCAGAAAGAAGAGGGGACACGATCATCCTGAACACTGCCTTTACTTTTGGGCAGAATGGAGGTTAGTGATAATGTTAAGTAAGTAATGCTTTCTAAGAAAGATACTTTGTGTCCCAGGGAAGATTCTACTGACTTTGAAGACAAGGGAAGTCACCTCGAGAGGGCTGTGCTTCAAGGTAGGGAAAACTTCCCCTGTTACAAAGCCACCTTGTAGTTTGAAGTTCTCTTAATTGCTATTAGAGGAAGGATGCTACATAAATAGCCTCATAGGCAAGGTGTATTTTTGGTCTCTCGTGTTTGCTTTGGTCTTTTGATTTGTTCCTCGTGTCTTTCTCTCTGGTTTCTTTCCTCTAAAGTGTGACCTTTTCTTATGCCTGTGCTGTTTCCACAGCTTTGAATAGCATGATGACTATTTTGATCTCTGAACAATTAGTATCTATAATAAGCAAGGCTGGTGGGCTGGACTCTGGACTATGGGACCAGCCTGTGGCTGGGAGGAGTTGCAGCTGCATGGGCTGAACCACCTCCTCGAGACCTGAAAGAACCAGCATAACCTTCACTCCCTGCGGCTGGGCTTAGGGCTTAGGGCTTAGGAGGATTTAGGGTGTTGTAATAGGATTCAGAGAATTAGAGAGGAGTTAAACTAGTGGGAATCTTTCTGAGATCAGCTCATCCACCCCATCGTTTTACTGATGGAGAAACTTAACCCCTAGTGAACAGTGACTTGCTCAAGGTCAAACAGTGATGGTAGTGATGAGAATGATGAAATTGAGAAACTCTTCCCTCCTGTTTGCTAGGCAATGTTCCAACTACTTAGAATTATTAATCCATTGAATCCTCACAACAGTCCTGTAAGGAGAGTGCTGTTACCCGTCCACACATTATAGATAAGAAACTAAAGCCGGGAAATCACTTTGCTCTAGCTAGTGATAGAGGCTGGATTCAAACATCGGCAGTCTGGCTCCTGCCCTCTTTGCACCTTCACAAAACCGACTGTGCCGGGCTCTGTGTGGTTGCTGGTGTACAAAGGTGGGGTGGTGCCACACGCTGAGCGGAACAGAAGGGAGGGGTAGTGGGCAGGTGGAAGAGATGACGGTTTTGCTCTCCTGGAAACCAGTTGCTGATGTGGTTCCGGTTCCTGGTCCAGAGCCTTTTTCACTCTATCGGTTGGTCTTCCTTGGCAGCTCCCAGGACAAACATTTTTTGATGCTTGTGATTTTGTTTATTGAAAAGTCCTTGGTATGAAATCTCATCCTAGCTACAGCCTCCTCCTTTTGAAAGTAAGAAGGTGTGTCCCAGCTAACTGATTGATTTAAAGAGGTATAAAGGTCAATGGGGCCCTTGACACTAACTAAATTAGGGCAGCCTTATGAAGATGCAGGCTTTCCCCTACTCTCCCCCAGTGGGTTTAATTTCAGATTTAGAACATTTAATTAGGACATAGTTAATGTAGTCTATCATTGTGGGGATAATGGGGGAGCAGATCTATTTTTCAGGGAAAGGCAGATGCCAAATGTATTTTTAGGAAGTTGACCTTGAGGCCACAGTTTATAAATTGAGTTGGGTTTTATGTGAACTAAGCGATTGGCCTCTTTAGTGCTGTAAGTGACTCTTACAGTGACTAAAAAGTGACTAATTATTTGTTAATATGAATAATCCTCCCAGCTTTCCTGCTTTCCGAGGGCATATGTTTGTACATTGACTTGTCTTAAAGCATTGAAGCATATTCATAGGATGATACACAATTGGTTGTTGGGGTGAAATGACTTCTTGAGATCCTGGTGCTCATGATGCAGAGGATTGGAATTGAAATTCTCAGAGAAGCCTCGTTCCCAACGTACTTACTCATGGTTTTCTGGCAATAAAGTCTTAATAGGAATGGAAACATTCATTTCTCCATGGAATAGTGAACCATCTGGACGTTGTAGAACCTCATAGGAAACAATTTAAAAATCTCTGTTTCTTGGGGAAGAGGATTGATGAGAAATGATCCACCTAATGTCTCTGTCATGCAAGACCAACCAACCCTGGCTTCATCCTCTCTGCCATCTCGGGCTCTTCACCTGGGTATTATTGCTGCCTTCTCCATCTGTAGTTCTTTTTCAGTACTGTTTCCTTCCTGCATTCATACATCCATCCTTCATCAATTTCTTCAACAGAGACCTTGGAAACCTTTGTGCAGCAAGTCTTTTTTTTTTTTTGAAACTGAGTCTCTGTCGCTCAGGCTGGAGTGCAGTGGTGCGACCTCAGCTCACCACAACCTCTGCCTGCAGGGTTCAAGCGATTCTCCTGCCTCAGGCTCCCGAGTAGCTGGGACTACAGGCGGGCGCCACCATGCCTGGCTAATTTTTGTATTTTTAGTAGAGACAGGGTTTTACTATGTTGGCTAGGCTTGTCTTGAACGCCTGAGCTCAAGTGATCCACCCACCTCAGCTTCCCAAAGCTGGGATTATAGGCGTGAGCCACAGCGCCCGGCTGTTCAAACTCCTTAGCCTGTTCTATAAGGCTCTTGGAAACCCAGCTCCAGCCCACATCTCTAGCTTCCTCTCCTGTAACCACTTCAGTTTTACTGCATATTTCTTGTATGCCTGCTATGAGATAGGCACCGTGTGAGGTACTGGCCTTGTATTATGTGTTAAGGTAAAGACACAAACATTCTGAACATGTTGAGAGGTCCTCAATGCTCTTTCTCCTGTTGCATCTTCAGCCACACACTGAAATCTCAGAAGCTCTTACTCTCATTTCAACCACATTGACCTTTCAGTTCTTTGAAAATACCACATCCTCCTGCCTACAGAGGCCTTTGATGGAATGCCCCATCTCTCTCATCCCACTTTAACTCTTACTGATCCATGAGATCTCAGCTCCGTCAAATCTCCACTTCTTGGGGAGGCCTTTCAGGCTAGCCTAGAACAGGTCAAATTTTTCCCTGGCCTTCTAACATCACAGATTTCTTAGTTGTACCAGTCAGTTATGAATTTGCAATTATTTGTGCTTAATGTCTGGTATTTTACACTGCCATAGAAACTCAGTGATGGCCTTTTGTGTATCTGTTTCTGTCTTTTTTTTTTTAATTGCCTGAAAAGGAGATCAACAAATGTTGCTGGTATTGTTGGCTATTTTACCTTCGTTCTTGAACGTGGGCAGTTGGGTGGTACATCACTCATGATGAGGCACTAAGATGGCTATGAGTGTTCTCAGCTTTAAGTATATACTTTGATGTATTTTGGGAACTTATCTTTCCTTCCTGGTCTCCCACTTCTTTGTAGCATATAATCATGAAATGATAAGACTGACATCTTTTGAAATTGTCTAGTCCAGTTATTCCCAACACTTTCTAGATATGAGAATTTCTTTTTTCTCAATTAAGAAAATGATGAGATAGTGATGCACACTTGTAGTCCCAGCTGCTTGGGAGGCTGAGGCAGGAGGATGCTTAAGTTTAGGAGTTTAAGACCAACCTGGGCAATATAGTGAGATCCCATCTCCGAAAAAAAATACATGAGGTTCATGTATTTTTAGTTGTATTTTTGCTATCAGTTTTTTTTTTTTTTTGGAAAAAATAAATAGTTATAAAATGCTGCTGTGAATTTAATTATATAAATTAGTTTAAATTTTATCTTAATAGCATCTACATGTACTTAAAATGTAGTAGTATATTTGCATGAGAGATAATACTATAGCACCAATAACTCCATGCCCGTGTGGTCTCTCAGTCAGGAATCAGCTATTAGTATTGGTCCTTTATTTAAAAAAAAATTTTTTTTTTAATTGGGACAGGGTCTTGCTCTGTCACCCAGGCTGGAGTGCATGATCACAGCTCCTGGGCTCAGGCGCTCCTCCCATCTCCACCTCCCCAGTAGCTGGGACTACATGCCCTCCCAGCTAATTTTTGTATTTTTAGTAGAGATGGGGTTTCACCATGTTGGCCAGGCTGGTCTCGAACTGCTGGGCTCAAGTGATCCTCCCGCCTTGGCCTCTCAAAGTGCTGGGTTTACAGGTGTGAGCCAGCACGCTCAGCCTTTGGTTTTTTATTTTACATGCATCATATTGGGAACTGGTTACCTGTGAGCTTATTCCACCCCTGCCTCCATATGTGTTCGATCTGACCAGCATGCCGGTTTTAAAATTTTGGAGCAAATATTTAAAAGCTGGGAGATTGTCTTGAAAAATTGGAAGAACTAGACGTGATTTCCTGTGTGGCCATAATCACCCGGACTGAATAGCGGCTGCCTCCCCCAGACGTGCCACGTTTTCTTCAGTTTGTCACAGTCCTCACTAATCTCTATCTTATGGCAAGTTACTGGTAAAATGGGAACTCAAAACCGAGTGACCTTAACCCTAGGTTCATGGGGCCTCCTGTCAGTCTCCACAGAGGCTGTGAGCAGGAGCCCTGGGGTCAGGGGTCCGGAAACCTGGGTCTTTGTCTTCCACTGTTGCTGACTAGTTTGGTGACCTTGAACGAGCTTTGCAACCGTTCTGTTTGTTGCATAGTTTGTTGCATCAAACTAGTCTCTCTGACTGGTTTGACGACTTTGAACAAGCTATGCGACCTTTGTCACCTGTTACCACATTCTAATAAATACCTCATGGATCCCATGAGATTGTTTAATCTACTGAGGGAAAATTGTTTGCTACAAGTTGCAGAACTTGTTTGTTATTAGTTTCCCTGTTTTCTGTTTGCTTGTCTCTCTTCTCCTCCTTCCATAGAGGAATTTACTTCTTGTTTCACCTTGATGGTTCATTTTAGAAATCCGAGAAGGCAACCATTGGTTTTCCCTCACTTTCTCATCCTGCTGTTTCTTCCACAGGTCGTGTCTGGAGGCAGCTCTGCTCCTTTCATCCCGTGCTCTTTGCTCCTCCTAGGAGCTCCTCCACAGCCATAAGCAAGCTCCTGCAGTGACACCCGAGACACCCCAAAGCTGGAACTTTTCTCCGAATATCAGAGTTCTAGCTGGATTATTGCCTGTTGAGATACTCAGTAACTAGCCATTGATGGTAATTATTTTGATGTTGCTAATATCCATGAACTGCTAACAGGATACTGGACTAGTAGGGGAA